TGATTAATCAATACATTAGATCAGTGATTTATTAGTACATTTGCCAGGGGGGTTCATCAGTGTATTAGATGGAGGATTCATAATGTATTTTCCACAGTTACCTGGGGAAGATAAATCACTTGACATTCTTTAATTCCATCACTAAGATGAGACAATTCTTGTTCAGCAACTTTCGTCATAAAATCTGGAAGTCCATTATATGTCCGTTTCTCTGGAATTAAAATTTTTAAAACAAAAACATTTATATTTGGCGATATATTTCGGCAAACCTTTATAATAATCTGAGCCTCTGGATAACGCTTCATTATCAAGTGATAGACATTATTTAACCTGTTTTTTTTATTTCTTATTGTATACTTCAGCTAAATTATTTTTCCTTTTAAAACTTATTAAAAAATTAACTTTGAAGTCTTTCAGAAATTAAAAAAAATAGGAAGAATGAAACATACTTTAAAATGGAACATTAAAATAATGTCCACACTTTTGAAAAGAAAAACTATGAAATACATTAGTATCTTGTGTGATATTACAACATAATAAGACTGATAATTCTTAATAAGTCATTCTTTACTGTGCTATACAGTTTAACCAGTAATAATAGCATCTTGATCTGCACATCATTTTGTGTGCTTCACACTGCTGCCAACAAGGCCTTCCACTCAGTAAAGAAAGATCTGTTAAAACTTATTATCACTCTTACTGTGATGTAAGTCACACAATCCACTGATCTGTGGAAAACACTTCACCAGCATAAGATGTTACATACCATAAACGTGAAAATACATTATAAGGTGTTAGAACATGATAATCTTCCTGAACAAGAGAGTACAATCATCGGATGGGATTCAAACAATGTTTTTAAGCACTGTAAAACTCTAGCAGTGTTTTATATGATGGAATTCAAACAAACTGTTTTCAAGCACTCCAAAACTAGCAGAAGATATCACCTCAATAAATATGAAGTAAAAAAAGCTGAGTCTAAGGTTTTAATTTGTAGGTGACTTATAGTCTAAGGTTTTAAGTTGTAGGTGACTTATAGTCTAAGGTTTTAAGTTGTAGGTGACTTATAGTCTGAGGTTTTAATTTGTAGGTGACTTATAGTCTGAGGTTTTAATTTGTAGGTGACTTATAGTCTGAGGTTTTAATTTGTAGGTGACTTATAGTCTAAGGTTTTAATTTGTAGGTGACTTATAGTCTAAGGTTTTAATTTGTAGGTGACTTATAGTATAAGGTTTTAATTTTTAGGTGACTTATAGTCTAAGGTTTTAACTTAACCTTAAAACTGCACATTCACAATTTCTGAACATACGTACTTCGATCCAACTCTTCATCGACCCCTGGTTTGACAACAAAATGATCCTGGTTTACGGATTCTTCAAAATCCACCTTAAGAATAAATATTTCAAAAGTTTTTAATGGCTAACATTGGAAATAAGAAACGTGTCTGTTGAAAAAGAATGTAGCATTGGAAATAAGAAATGTCTATCAACATTTGGAGTCTTTCCCATTTACTCAAATAGGCTATACGCTATGCTAAAAGCTAAGAATAGTGGAAAGATTATTTATTTATTTACTTAAAGCATTAAGTTACTGAAGTATGGATTCCTTCAACTCGCCCAACTTGTTTCCCATTTGCTTAGTTCAGAATTAAGATTCTGGAAACTTGTAACCACACAGTCCTCTGTTGAAGGGAGAACAACACTGTTAACTAGAAAGGCACTCAGACAGTACAAACTTTGCCCAACAATGTTTCTCATCTTTGCAGTAAAACATTTTATCTCAATATGTTCTCAGATTTCACAGTTTTTCAAAATCCCAATTTGATACCATTGTAATGAGAGTAACTGACCTTCAATATGATCTTGACCTATGAGCTACATTCATGAAAAGTTAAAACTGGTCCTTGAGAGAGACAGATTTGATCAAAATCAAATGAAAACTTTTATGAGCTATACTATTCACAAATACAAAGAGACACATAGGAGTGGAAATATGACAATACAACCTTGATCTTTGAGCTACACTCACCAAGTTACTCATCTTACCCTTGAAAGGTACTCAACCTTTTTTACAAATTTGATCAAAATCAAATGAAAACTTTTATGAGTTACACTATTCACAAATACAAAGAGAAACATAGGAGTGGAAATGTGACAGTACAACCTTGATCTTTGAGCTACACTCACCAAGTTACTCAACATACCCTTGAAAGACACTTAACCTTTTTTACAAATTTGATAAAAATCAAATGAAAACCTTTAAGGATTATACTGTTTACACACATATATGCAGACACACAGGACTATAAATAATATCCACACTGTCAGGTAAGATAATTATTAAATACCTCCAGTTACTTAGCTAACCTGCATGAAATTCTGTAATAATGTTGTTTAATAACTTGATATAATAAATCTTAAATACATTATTAACCATGATTTTAAGAATATTTGGCCCAAGTAACAACAAGCTCATGCTGTTGAAGAGTATCATTAAGATTTTCTTTGTTCTCCTGAAGAAAAATAGTCAACTAATCGAAACTGCTCGAGTTTCGGGTCTCGTTTAAAAACATTAAGATTTTCTTAATACTTGTATTTTATTAAGACAAAGTTTGAAATTGTATGAATCTGTTGTTTTTTTCTATATCCACTATTAAAAGTGTAAAAGCTTTTAATTAACTCTTACAAACAAATGTTCAAGATCATTGATATGATCATACATGTTAAACACCTTATACCCTTCAGGTCTAAATATGAAACAAAACAGTTATGTTTACTCTTCACTAAATTCAACTATGTGTAGACATGCACTATCACAATTAACCCAAAACTTACCCTCTGTAGACAGTTTAAAATAAACAATGATTTGGTAAAATATACCAAATGATATTTCAAACTAATACACAGTTAAGTAAAAACCACTATTAATAATTTTTACAAACATCGAAGCCATTACTTACTATTTTATAAATCAGATTAGCCACTCTATACAAGTCTGAAGTGAAAGTTGTCGTAATCTGAAATAATAAAAAAGTATTTTAACCCACAGTGAAGAACCCCACAAGTCTGTGTCCTGATTTCAGAACCACGTGTTTGTGTCATGATTTCAGAGCCCCAGTGGGTTGAATCTTCTTCCAAACAGAAAAATTTTCACAAACAACTTAACCCTATTGCCACCTCTATCCTTTACTGTGCTTGACACAAGGTTTTAGTGTCTTACGCTCAAAATGTTAGTAAACTACTTTTTGTTTATGTTATACCAATTAGAATAACATAAAATCTTAGCTAATAATCCATATTTTAATAGTATACAATTTTTAAGTTCTTAATTCTACAAGGCAATATTTCAAAAAATCCTGAATTTCCACTAGTGTGACCCACATGACACATTTTGTTTTAGCATGTCATCATCACTATTTTATCCATCATCCTCCAAAAAAGTATGAAATTAAACGTAAAATACTCTATAAAATTGTTATTGCTCAAACAAATCATAATTTTATAACCTTCAATTTTGTTTGGTTAGAGAGCTATCAAATAGAAAATCAGCTCCCTCCTGCCACACCCACCTGTCACATCCTCTCTTTCAGGATTTGTTAATAGTTCTCTCTTACATTTAATTATATATAACCTATAACCAATGGAAAGCCAAGGTTTTCATCTATCAAATAACGTATTGTATAACGTTGTGTTCTGAACAGATAATTGTCAATTTCACTCAAAGTACAAGCTCCATTCCCATGGGAAAGCTAATGACTAGCTTCGATGAATTTGTATCAGCTCCTGTCGCAGAGTTAGAAAGCCAGAAAAATGTTTAAAGTTAAAGGAAATTGTCTACTTTCTGCCCATTATTTATCTATGTTCTTTGGTGCATTATTTAATTAGATAAAACTTATTTAGTGCATTACTATCATTAGTACAAAACAGTTAAGTGTCATTGACAATCGACAGCAAGAAAAAAAAAGTACATTGAGTTAGTACTTTATTTATTGTTTTTCATATTTATTCTTTATTTATTGTTATAAAAGTAACTAAAATGTAAAAATAGGGGTCTTTTTAGGTTAGTTAAGATTAGATTAGGTAAAATAAATAATAATAATATAATAAAAATGTATCATGAGGCATGCATGCGAGTAGCTCATGGGTAATGTAACTGAACAATGTAACATGAGCTGCACATTCCCCGAGTGATTTACAACATATAATGGCATGGATAGTACTTATACATGGTTTACAGGGCAATCAAAAGAGCAATAAAACAATAAAATTTAATTATAAATAGATATATACTGTTATGAGCTTAAAGCTAGTTAGGATAAACAAATGTAGTTTCATGTTACAATTTGAAGACATTCTTGAAAGAAAAACAAATTTCTTTTGTGTAATCTCTATAAGCTTCTAAATACATTTCAAACATTTGTTTTCAATAATACTTTATATTTTATCTGTTATTTTCTCTACTCTATCAGTCAATTTGACCGACCTCGTAACCTCAAAAAAAAAGTTGGAATAAATCTAAATTACCCAGATTTTTGAGATGAAGAAAAGTATTTTTAATCTAAACATGAAAATCACTTTGCACACAGACTATTTAAAACAAATACTCAATATATTCATGGACAAATCTTTATTTTTAGTTTATTAAAAAATATGATTATGTGAAAGACTTGTAACGTTAACTGAAAGACTGCCAAATTTTGTGAAGTTATACATACTATATCGAACGTTAGAAGTATTAAATCAGTAATATCATTGCCCCCCCCCCCCTTCATTATATTTATTAACTTTTGCTGATTTTTCATAAAAGAAACTTAGGTGACAAATTTCTTCATGAATCCATGAAAAAGCAGTAGCCATTTTAGCTCATTAAGTAGTATGCATTTCTGATGAGCTTTGGAATATCCCACTGCCGGGCCCCTCAACAGAACCTGGGCCCTGGGGAAGCTGCCCCCCTCTCGTCAAAGGTATATCAACATATTTCTAATAGTGGTTACTGAAATATAAGTAAATTTTACATATTATTTTCAATAAGTAGATGAAAAATAAAGTCTCAGCATTCACTAACATATTATTCAGTCAAAAAATATGTGATTCTAAAAACATTTATTCCTAGTTGACCGGCAGCAGGTTTGAGGACTTGTGTACTAATTTATACACTAACAAACAAACTAACTAACTAAAAAGAATTATTTGAATTATGGTTCCTTGTCATCACCTAGCTTTCTTTGATGTCACTAATTCTTCAATGCAAGTAAAAATGTTATTATTCCGAGGCATATAATAAAAAGGGCAGAGAAATTTTGAAGTACACTAAAACTAGACTGTTTTAAAACATAAAGAATGTTAAACTTGTTGTTACTCATTAATAAGTTTGCAAAATCTTTCATTTTATATAACGAGATTGTTAAAAATTATTAATTCATAAAGGGAGAACAGGGATCTTCAAAACAATTACACAAACAAAATAGATAGCTTAAAGTGAAAATGCAATCACAAAAAAAGTAAACAAGCTTAAGGCTTAAGACATAGTGTTGACATTATTTCAAGTCCCTGTTTTGACTTGTAATTAGCTGTAATATTTAGGAGAGACGAAATAGGGATTTATAGCTTGAGGAAATAATGTCAAAACTATGTCTTAAATCTTAAGCTTGTTTACTTTTTTTGCAATTGCATTTTCACTTTAAGTTACTTATCTTGTTTCTGTAATTGTTTTGAAGATCCTTGTTCCCCCCTTTTTAAATTAATAATTTTTAATAATCTTGTTTCTTTAGTTATTCTTATGTTCATAATGGACATAAATCTGTATAATAGTAATACTGTCCCTATTTGAAACAGTTTAGTTTAATGAAATACATAGTTGGTGTATGATGCTCTCTCGGAAACAACCACCACCTTTGGATTGGCTTCATACAGATTGAATGGCTACTGTTCCTGATATCATTGCCACAATGTTATCATTGATGGTAGTACTGCATGTATGATCACTATGATACATGGTGATCAACATACCACATGTTATGTATATGCTTATATATATATATAGCTACTGTATTTATACCCCTGTAGCTATATGGGGGAGTCTGTAAGCACTGGATTGGAGGAACTACTGAACTATACTGGAATGGTGCATGGACTGTATTTTGTAACTGCATGAGTTTTACACATGTAATGCACATTGGCTAGTATTTATATATATATACATGCAGGTTTTTATAGTTATATTAAGTTGTAAAGTCATATGTACAGATAGTCATATGAATTTTTCAAGTTGTATAGATTCAATGTAAATATAAGACAATGTGTCATAATATAGTAGTATATGTGTACAAATAATCATTTTAATATTTCTTATAGTTGTCATATTTCCCACTTCCTCTTCCTCCTCTCCGCTGGCCATAGTAAGACCGGTCACAGTTTTGCTGCAGCTGGCCAGATTTCCTCTTAGAGTAGCATTCTGTACACTCTAAACACGTTAATTAACAATTATGAATTGATTGTATTAATATATCTTTCTCCCCTCCATTTCTGATGGAGTTTAGGTCATGACATGTCTATGACCCTAAACTCTGGTGGGTCATTCCTGCTGCATACTTCATCTAAAACTAAATATTTCTAAATAAAATATATAGCTGCAAAATTTCTGCCTCACTTTTACCTAGAATCACCATCATTTTTGCCATCTCTTGCTTGCACGATTTTTGCCTCTCCTTATAGTCAGCTTCAAGGATGGCTACTCTATCTGCAGTATCTATAAAATTTGCAAACACACAGTGTTGCCTACATTTCGACACATACCACCAGCAATCACCGTGATTGCTGATCTATGCTCAAAACTGAGCTTCATGCTATCTTTTAAACTGCAGCTTAAAGATTTATGTTGTGGGAGACAGCCTAGACATTTGTGTAACATGTCTAAATCGATCATGCAGTGGTAAAAAACTGTGATCCTGTCAGCAGCATTGTGTCCAAAAGGGCAGGAACCCTATACATATACAAATGATACGCGACATCAATACAATTTCAACAATAAGTTAATAATTACTATAGTACATGTGTCACGTCTGCCACATAAACATTAAATTACATCCATGCAACTATATACGTATGCATGTAGTAGATTATGAGGCTCCATATTAACCACAGACTACATTAAAATGATTAGGTGTCAACGGTTATACAGCCGCCGTTAGTTGCTAGGTGGTCAAATAAATTCATAAATTATGCTACACAATGCACAATGTGTTTAGTAATACTGCCCAGGTTTTATTACAATCCTCACAGCTATTTGTGTTGTAGGCTGGTAGAACAATATTAAATATAATAAAGAAGAACAAATGAGTGGTTTATGATCAATTCAGAATGTAACATAACTTACTGTTTAAACCTTAAAGCATAAGATGTGTATATACGTGGATACCTTGTTAATGATGAATAATCTCTGAGGAAGTGTCGAACAGAGGTCACCAATCAGCATAGCATTATAAACACCCTAAAAGAATAAACAGTTACAGTCATATAAACCTTACACAGAAATACAAAAGGAGAAACCTTATCATGTTTAAAATCTTTAATACTGTAATCTTCTAGTTAAAAATTACATGAGAATTGATATTTTTTGTCATCTTGGGATAAGTCTTATGATAATAAATATCAAGAAACCATTGAAGTCGGTTTTGTTTAAAGTATAAGAAACCACCACAACTCATCTACTAACCTTGTACAAGGTCTTCCAGTCGTTCACAGTAGCATGAGCAGTAGCCATGTGTGCTAAAATTCTCTAGAGTGAAGAATAAATAATGTGACAATAAACATTAATCTCTTCTATTGTTTTGTACAAATGTTCTTCAAATCTGAAATGGATCTATCGATGTATAAAACTGTTATAATTCAACTCAAACTACCATTTTTCATGACATCTTTTCAATTATAAAATACCTTGTAAAATTAACATTTTTCTCATTTTACAGCAACACACATGGACTGCAGGATGTAACAATAGTTTAAAAAAAAACTTTTATATATTCGTTACCAACATTTTCAAATTACCCCTTTATTAAGAACTGTTCATACTTCCACAGTTATACAAAACATTATACTTGATAAAATGTTGAAAGTTTACATTTTCCTATACTAAAATGTATTTCCGATAATACTTACCTCCTCTCACATTTTAGCTTTACACCAACAAAAGGTTCTCTTCTTTGTCCATCTAACCATTGGTATGAATACTACCTCACTTGCTCCAGTCTTTATACCCCACTATATTACTCCTAGCGATTGTAATCTTATAACTCTCTCCACCTACATCAATGCACCCTCTATACCCAATCTGTATATAAGCTCCCTCTTCAGCTATTTTGAGGATGAAGGGCAGGACAGTGTGAAAGGAGGTAAGTATTATCAGAAATGTATTTTCGGTATAAGAAAATTTAACTTCCAAAACACACTTACTTCTGCTCTCACTTTAGCTAGAATCTCACATTGACCAGGTGGAGAGGCCAGTGAGGGCAAGATCCACATAGAAAGCGTCTGTGTACAAACACAGGTGTGCAAAATTGAGATATAATAAAGCACACTAGTGGGGGTCCACACTATTTCTGGAACAGGTATACTCTTTGCCCAGATAAAGTGAAATCTAAATGTGGGATGTAAAGGCCAACTGGCTACAGAGTCAACATTGTTCATTATCACAAGATTCATCCAGGCCCCAACCACATGGACAAGGTTCCACATCTCATCATGAGAATTATAAGGCTGTGGATGCCAAGATAGATCCAAGGTGTTGTGGCTAGGACATGGAGGCCACAACATGATATAACTGTATAATAGGAATATGGTATAGAGGGAATCCAACCTAAAAGGTACAGAATGTTGATGTCAAGCCACCGGAATTAAGAATGGATGGCTAGCAATATCCAACTGGACAAGTCTTTCACACAACCTGAAGAAGCACAGAATGCAACAACCCAAACTCAGAATTATGGAGCCAATTCATGCCTCACTCAACCTGAAGAAAGCGATCATCCAGCCTAGGATTACGAACCAAAATCCTAACTCCTCAACCTGGGAGATAAGGCATCACCCAGAATTACAAGGAGGATGTGGAACAAACAAAGTTCAACCAATGGCTCACAATTACAATGTGTCAAGGACCCTCTTCCAGGATCATGTTAAGTAACAGAATGACCAAAATGAAGCACCACACTCACAAAACAGATACCAAAGTATCATCTCTGAACCATAATTACAAGAAGGCTCCCGCATAGGCTAATCCAGTTCCCTACCAGACATCTGAGAAAACCATCCAGGGTTAAGGGGGGAAGGGTATCCAGCTTCACCCTCTTCTCCTTGAGTGGAATAAAGAGTATAAACACCACTCATGAGGAACAGACCTCTGTCTACCACTCCAGCAACTGGAAACTGAGTGTGGTGAGGACTCTTGCTGCACTAGAAGAGAGGGGGGAACTTGCACTGGGGAGTCCAGAGGAATGATGCTCCACAGAAAGTGCAATAGGTGTACTACATTCCCTATTTTGAAAAGTTAACCAACCCCAATTTGTTTAATCCTGGGTTTATCAGGGATGGGCAAAGACCCTTTATGCTTTATTCATGATAGTCCATGAGTAGCGGTCCAGTACTGTATATTATATTTGATATATAACAATTGTTCACCACCCAGAAAGAGCCATGGCAGTCTTATGAAACACCCCATCTCATTGCTACCAGGAATTTAGTTAATAGTTTACTGGTAGTTAGTGCAGATTTGTAAAAGCATACCTCATCAGGCAACATTTGCCACTGAGTGAGATCCAAATGAGAATGACGAAAAGGTCCCTGAAAAGGAGCACAAAAGAAAAGAAGTTACTTCTGTCACAATCGAGCCTCGGCATGTAGAATAGCCACAGGGGGTAACCGAAATCCATCCAAGGAGGAAATTGCTAAGTCATGTAAATAGTGTGATATAAAGATGTTAGGTGTGGTCCACATACTAACCTGTACAATTTGCTCCAGCAGGCAACAAAACCAAGCTGCCAGGGACATTGATTTATGTCAAACTTGATGAGATGAGACCCAAAAAAAGGAGTCTACTCCTCCAATGAAAGACCAGAGTAAGCTATCCATACCAACTGACAAACAGAGAATAAGTAACATGATACCAAAGGATCCCAATGAATAAATACCTGGTGAAGTGAGCCCAAAAATGCTTCAGTACATGCCACATAAAAACGGAGAGCCCGACCAAGTCATAAAAGATGTTCCAGGTTCGAAGGGTTGTATAAATGGGAAATGGAGGGAAGATGAATAGGAGAGAAAGCCTTATCTCCTTCCCTAGCTGCTGCAGTTTTAGGTATAAAAGACCTATCTGGATACAACAGAACGTAGTTGGAATGGTACAATGTCCTGTGAACATGAAGTGCAAACACATCTGAACATTGATGCCTGCTAGCCAATAACAGAAGAAACTATGTTTTAAGTGAAAGATGATATAGTGAAGATGACCCCAAAGGTTCAAAAGACAGACATAATAATGCATATAGAACCACTGTGATATCCCAATTGGGATCCTGGAAAGGGCAAGGAGAACAGATAACCAGAAATTATTTCAAACATAATGACAAAACCAGAGACTCAAAAACTTTTTGTCTCTTAGAAAAACGACAATTAGCTGATAATGCTGCCTTACACAATGCAACAGACAAAGACACCAGATCTTTGTCAAACAACTTGAGAGACATATGGCACAGTGGAGCGTGAAGGGATAAACCCATGTCTAAGAGACCACTGATGATAAGTAAATCATTTTCTTTGATAAATTTCCAAAGGAGAATGTCGATTGAAACATGTTAATAAGGACACCTCTGGAGATGTCAATTCCTGATGTTGTGCAATGGACTGCATAAAAGACAGGTGTGAAGCCCAAGAACATCAACTGCTGGATGAAAAATGTCCAACCAAGGCTGACATAAGAAAGATGGCCAAGTGAGGAAGGGGAAGAGGTTGACACTCCTGAAAATACTGGAGGAGTGGAAATCAGGGCTGACTCTGCTAATATTGTGCTACCAGAACTTGACAGAACATGGAGCGATTCAGTGCCAGAACCTTGGAGAGCAGATGAATCATATGGAATGCATAAAGATGAAGACCCGTCTAATCCTGGCTGAGAGCATCTACTCCCAAAGCCAGAGGATGAGGTACTGGAGACCAGAAGACAGGAGCTGAGCATTCCAGTGTGTGTGGCACAAGAATTGATTGGTGATGTCCCTAGACAAGAGCAGATCCAATGAAAAATTTGAGGATGAGGCATCCATTCTGTAGGAAGGGCTCTGTTGGGATGAGATAACTGGTCAGCCACTAGATACATTACCCCTGTAACATGACAAGCAAAGGAGAACAATCTTATGCCCAAAGGAGATCCACTGTTAAAAAAAAAAAAAGAGATCTGGAGTGAGTGTCCCCTTGCTTTGAATTTTACGAGACTGCTGTGGAATTGTCCAAAGGAAGCATTACCACTTTCCCTTGCAACAATTCAAGACCCTGAGTTATAGCTTGTTAAACTGCTAAACGTTCCAAGAGATTGATGTGGAGAGAAGCTTCCTCTACTGTCCAAAGTCCCTTAAATTCCATATTGTCTATACAAGCACCTCAGTTCTGAAGATAAGCATCTGTGAACAGATGTATCTCTGGTCTTGGAGGCGGTAGAGGGACACCATACTGTTGTGTTGTCCCTGTTCACCCACCAGCTTAGATCCAGCAAGCTGGAATCTGACAGACTCACTAGACAATCCAGCACATCTGTGCAAATGTTCCACTGGTCCCATAATGACCACTGAAGAGCCCTCATGTGGGCCCGACCTAAAGGAATGAGTGATTCCATGGATGCTCACATCCCCAAAAGGCATGTTGGTGGAGAAGGAGACAACTGTATTTAAAAAATCACCCATTCCATGGCCTGAAGGCATAGAGGAGAATGTTGGACCAAGCTTAATCTGGAATTGAAAAACACTCTTAAATGGATGAGGTACTGTGTGGGAGTAAGAACAGACTTCTTTTTCATAAGAAACCCAGCTCTCACAGCTTCTGATAACAGAGTTTGAGTGTGGAGTTTTGTCAAATGGTGGGAAGGGGAGAGAAGAAGCCAGTTGTCAATGTAATGGTGAGCATGAATGCCGAAGGAGTGGTGATGATGTGAAAAAGCTCCAACTATGTGGCAAAAAATGTATAGAGCAGATGCGAGGCTGAATGGTAGAGCATGAAACTGAAAAACCTGGTTACTGTGCACGAAATGTAGATAATGCCTTGAAAACTTGGCAATTTGGATATGAAGGTAGGCATCTGCAATGTCAAATTTTGTCATCCATAGTCCTGACAAAAAGAGCCACTGAAGGGAAAGAAATTACTTCATTGTAGACCAAGGAGACTGGAGGAAGTGATTGAGATGAGAAAGGTCAATGACCTGTTGCCAATCGCCCACCTTTTTTCAGTACTACAAACAGCCAAGAATAAAAACTCTAGAAAGAGAGAGAGATAGTAACACGTTCTATGGCCTCTTTGTGCAGAAGATCCTGGATGGCTTGTGCTCGATGGTTGGAAGTAAGAGGGTCCTTGCGGATTGGAAAGCCAACCGGTTTGAGAGACAGAGGAGAAAGAAACGTGAACTGAATGACCAATCCACTCCTGAGAACTTGAATGACCCACTGATCTGTGGTGAATGTCTTCCATACTGACACAAATCCTCTGAAATGAGACTCCACATGACCTGACACCATAAGGTAGTCACCGATACCAAAATCTGTGCTCCACCCTGGAAGAGAATCCCTGTTCATAAACCCGAAATCACCCTTGTGTCCCAATAGATAGTGGGGCTGAAGCAGGAGGTTTGGAAACTCGAATGGGAGATTTAGTAAACCATTCTTTAGAAAAACAGTGGAACAGTCGAGAAATCAGTGTAGAAAGTGAAGAATGTAGACGGGCCACATCTACACAAGATTCCACTGAGTCTGGAATTCCTGCAAAAATAGACAGTCTGAGTAAAGTAGCTTCTCTTATATCTCTAAGGGCCGACGTAGGAAGGCCAACTCCCTCCAGTAAGGCATCTCCTCCAAAAGAACCCAGCAAAAAACCAATAAAGATACCAAGGAGAAAGCAGAAGCCGATAACCTAAACAAAGTGGAAGTTAATAAATGACTAAGATCCTCCGTGAGCAGGAGATCTATGATAGGATTCAGATGACAGTTGAAAATATTATAAAAAATGCAAAACTGTTGTAAGTGACAGACAAATTCTGGAAAACTGAGATTGATTAAGATGAACAGTGGCATCTTGTCTAGAGCCCCCAGATAGGAAGCAGAGAGTCTAACCTCTGAGAAGCCAAATAAGGGTTCTCCAGGCAATGGAAGGCCAAAGCATATTGATCCAATAAACGAGGAGGCCAAGACCTGCTAACACCCTCCATCAATTGGTCTGTATGTACAGCAATGTCTGGTAAAGACAGAAGAACCAAGTAATCAGAGAAACTAGTTTCTCTCAATAAAGAAGTTGAAGGTCCATAAGCCACAGGAGAAATACCCAAAACATTACAAACATGGTGTACTAGTTGTAAAAAGAGTGCAGGAGGCAGAATATCCATCCAAGGTTCATGAGGAACTGTCTGACCAAAGGAAGGTGCTTGAAAAATAGAGTCTAAATTCTTACTAGTCTGCTCTTGATCTCCCACAAACTCAGCCTCTGAGCCAACAGGAGAAAAAGCATCAGACTGCATGTAAAACTCTACTTCTCTGCATATAAGGAACTGTATGTCCTCTGCAGAAGGTGCCCCCCTATCCTAACGACTGGGTGACATTAGACTTGTGAGGTGGTAGAGGAGGGGCATCAGGTGACTCCATGTCTGAGATGTGAACGTGAGTATTCATATTTGAAAAACGTCTCTAAATCGTAAAATCAAGAAAATAAACAATGAACTCAAGTCCCATGAAAAAAGATATAAAACAATTCAAAGAAAAGTTGCAAATGTAGTTATAGCACCAAAGAAAAACATATAAGACCGTCATCATAATTTTTGCCACTGAGAAAAAGTGAATAAGAAAAAATAACATGGAGCTTATAAACAGATCAGGTATAGAGGGCACATTGACGTAGATGGAGAGGATCACAAGATTAAAATCACTAGAAGTGATATAGTGGGGAATAAAGACTGGAGAAAGCAAGGTAGAATTCATATCAATGCTTAGAAGGGCAAAGTAGAGAACCTTTCATCAGGATAAATCTAAAGTGAGAGTGGAGGTAAGTGTGTTTCAAAACTAATTTTAGGAGGAGACTTTCTACCTACTGGGATATTTTTTAATATGTTTCAAGCAGTCCTGGATCGTGGTAGTGGTTTCCATGTTCTCTGTAGCAAGGAAGAAACCTATAGCTTCTTGTCTTCGTGTAAGTATCTCCAAGTTTTGGGTAGGACGTAGAAGCATTTTTCTAGGATACAAGAGATTCTAGGATTATGTTATAAGTTACAAAACCATAAACATTTGTCTTAAAAATTATTATTTAACAAGGACTTATTTATATAAAAATAAATTTCTGTTGCCTTCTTCACCAAAATCATAAAATAAGTTAGGAAAAAAAAGTTTTTAATTTAGAACTTTTTGACTGGTAACATAGTCTTAATCTGTAAGATTACCATAGCTTTTGTATGTACAGTACTGAATCTTTGAAAACATTGTTTTATGCATATTAAAAGCAAAACTAAACCTATTTTTCAACTTCTATAATATGGTACCTGTTTAGACAAACTAAAATACTGTTATTTCTCACAAAGTACAAAAAAGAAACAAGGTTTATGAGCCAGCTCAAAAACTTAACATCTCCAATAATGTTTTTCTAACGAGCAAACTTTAAAGTGGTTGTACAAATGAAGAACAAGCATATCTGTTTCCATCTGGTGGCCTTTCTGTCATTGTTCAGTTGCAGTAGAAAGTATAGATACTGACCTCAACTGTTCATGGAACTGGTCTTGTAATAACCAATACATTTATTGTGCTAATTATCATCTAAAAGTTAATAACACTATAGACCAATGCTAAACTATTAGAGGTATGTATGGTAACTTCAAACATTACATCTGACATCCAAGTTTCACCTTAGTTTCTGTTACTGCTGACTTCAACAAATCTATTTATCTAATGTTTATTTTTATTTTTAACAACTTAGTCCTTCAATCCTTCCAGCTCCCTCAGTATCCCAAGTTCCCTGTTCCTTTACAGCTCCCTCAGTATCCCAAGTTCCCTGTTCCTTTACAGCTCCCTCAGTATCCCAAGTTCCCTGTTACTTTACAACTCCCTCAGTAACCCAAGTTCCCTGTTCCTTTACAGCTCCCTCAGTAACCCAAGTTCTTTGTTCCTTTACAACTCCCTCAGTAACCCAAGTTCCCTGTTCCTTTACAAGTCCCTCAGTAACCCAAGTTCTTTGTTCCTTTACAACTCCCTCAGTAACCCAAGTTCTTTGTTCCTTTACAGCTCCCTCAGTAACCCAAGTTCCCTGTTCCTTTACAGCTCCCTCAGTAACCCAAGTTTCTGTTCCTTTACAAGTCCCTCAGTAACCCAAGTTCCCTGTTCCTTTACAAGTCCCTCAGTAACCCAAGTTCCCTGTTCCTTTACAAGTCCCTCAGTAACC